TGGTACCCAGTGAAACAAGCATCTATTCAATGATATTTTAATATTTGTTTTATTTTTAAGCCAAAGATTGCCAACATGCTTCTGGAAAAGCTCCCAGAATTCACAGAGGATGATGGCAAGTATGTAAAGCCAATCTTCAGTTATATATTTTTTTAATGAATAAATATTATTATTTAAATAATTATATAAAACAAAAATATGTGATGTAGAATTTTCCAAACCTCCAGTTTTGCACTGTATGGAAGATATTCAAAAGTGAAAAAAGTGAAATTGTATCTGGTGTTTCAGCAATGGTGTAGATGATTTCAATATCCCTCGCCTGATCCTTAACCAGTTTAGATGGCTTGACTTCATTGTGCAGAGTAAGGTAGGATGTTACTACATCACAACAATTCTCGGTAATATAATTATTAGTAGTTTTAATAATCATATGTAGTTTTTGTCCTCTGCTTGGGACTGCTGTATATAAGCACTTACAAATATTGATGTACCTCATGACTAGAACTTTGAACAAAACAATTTGGCAATCCATAAAATATTCATACCCCTCCCATGGAAGGTGTTTTGGTTCAAAGTCCCCGTCCCTCTTGAAATTCCAGTTTTAGTTCACACTTTCTCTTAAAAATTTGGCTTTGAGACCCGTCTCCTTCTTTTTGGAATTTCTAGCAACCTTCCATGGCGTGGGTATGGGTATTTTCTGGAACCAACATTACCAAAAGAGATTTTTTAGCATGAAATGAGAGGGTAATTTAGTTTACATGTACCAGTTTGGAGACTGTCAACATCAGTCTGGTTTGCAAGTCTGAGTAATATTAATTAAATGTTAATGCTATTTTGATGGAAATTTAGGAATTGACTGAAAAGATGCTAGAGATGGTTAGCATAACATCTCTAGACATCCAGCGTGAAATCATCACATGTATTCCCGAAGTGCTGGATGATTCAGAACACACTGAGGTTGCGAGGAAACTGAGGTACACTATACAACTGGTTGACGGTCAGTTTAAGTGTCACTGTATATTTGTCAACTTTGTTTGAAGTATACTGTACCCACCTCCAGGGGTTTCATTAACATTTTCAGCAGAAGGGCAACTGGTTTTCACAGGTGAACAAAATTATTACGAACTGAACTTCTTTGTTAGAAAAACTTCCTGCTAGATAGTAGAAACAGCTGGACAAAATGTCCTCATAGCTGGTCAATTTGTGCGGTGCCCGGCCCTTAATGAAAACCCTACATCATCCTAAATGTAGCTTTATTCCTAGTGTATCATTGTTAACCAGACCTGGGGCAGGTACATGATTTTAGAGAAGGGGGTTCGAGATATGGACTGCCAAAGGCTGTCCCCTTTTGGGGGTCTGGGGCATCTTATGCCAGAAAATTTTTAAATTTGAAGTCCTCAGAAATGGGATTTCGGACATTCTGAGGCAAAATCAGCTTGTTATTATAGTCTCTCATTTTTTTTTTTTAATTTAGGGGGACCGAATCTTCGAACTCCCCTTGATCTGCCCCAGCAGACTTAAGTTGGCTCATTGTAAGTATTTTTCTAAGCACCTTCCCAACTCCTCTCCTCTTAAAGTTGGGACAGTGTGCCTATGAAGAATCAATATGAGCCACCTTTGTTAGCAAAATTGACAACAAGGTTCTAGTACAATGTTGTGTGACCTCACTTTTGTTTCACAGCGCACTTCTTTGTCAGAACACTGGACTTACTGTTTCTATTCTTGATGCTCTGTCCAATCTGAGCTTAAGGCCAGACCTCCTAGCAGAGGTGAGTCACATCACCAAATGAATCGCAGTGTCACTTAATGGAGAGCTGAATTAAATTATGTTGGTTAAAATAGTATTCAAAATTGTAACTATTCTATGAACAGATTTTTGTAAATAATTTTTGCACTTGCATTGCTCAAACTTTAAGCAGATTCCATCTTAATAATTCATTAATAAAAATGTATTTTTAAAATATGTGATACCTGTGAATGACAGTGTTGTAACATGTATTATTTGACATCAACAAACTTACTGATAGATTTTTTTGTGATTTTATCTCATCTCTGTTTTCTCCTTGATTTTAGTTTCAAGAAGATACATGTATATCAAACACTCGAGACAGTGTTTAACCCCACTTCCAAACATCTCAACTTAGTCTGTCAAAACTACTGGATGACTGATGCCAGTGAGATTATCAAAGTTCTGGAATTTTCAAAGTTTTGGAATGACTTATCGTGTTTGATATATTACTTGGTACAAGA